CTACAACCTAAACCCAAAACCCCTAAACCCCTAAACCCAAAACCCCTAAACCCTGAACCCTAAACCCTAAACCCTAAACCCTGAACCCTGAACCCTGAACCACGAGCCTCTAAACCTGCATGGCCTTTAAACCGTAGAGCCACACAAAGTTGAAGCCCTCAGTTTCTTGCGGCTTCGTGTGAGATACTTCTGACCCCTAAACCCTAAACCCTAAGCCCTAGATCCTAAACCCTAAACCCTAAACCCTAAACCCTAAACCGCCCCTCTAGTCTTCAGCGAAGGCGAGCCCGACTCTCCCCCCAGGGGAGCCCAAAGCTTTCAATCCTAACGCTTGTTTGGGTTTATTAGCGTTGATTGTTTATAGGGTTTTAGGCTTATAACGAGTTTATTAGTGTTTAGGGTTTAGGCTTTATAACGAGTTTATTAGTGTTTATGGTTTAGGCTTTATAGCGAGTTGATTAGTGTTTAGGGTTTAGGGTTTATAGCCAGGTTTAGGGTTTAGGGTTTATAAAAGGGTTTAGCAGAGCAGACAAAGATTTCAAGCACCACACCACGGCCTGGAAGCCCATCCCCAAGGCTAAAACTCGACGTCAGAAGCCAAGCAGCAAGTGTCTGAGTGCTTCGATCATCGAAGCCTTACGCTGACATCTCCTAAAACCCTAAACCCTAGAACCCTAAACCCTAAACCCCCAAACCCCTAAACCCCTAAAACCCTCAACCCCTAAACCCTGAGTCTGCAAAAAAGGCCCCACACTTATATATAGGCCCCATAGTGGTTCCTTTTTGGGGTTCATGTTTAGAAATCCTATAAGGTAATCCCCAAAGAGGAACTACGACAGGGTCTATGGGTACCCTGCCCTAACCTGCAGGATCCTCCGCCCAGCATCTTCCAGCTCGCTCTGCTTCGGGCTTCTAGGGTTTAGGGTTTATTAAGGGCTTTTTGGGGTTCATGAGGCTGTCGTAGGGTTTACTCGGGTTTATTAGGGCTTAGTAGGGTCTATTTGGTTGTTATTTGGGTTTAAGAAGGTTTATTCGGGTTTAATGGGGTTCATTAGGCTTTAGTAGGGGTTATTGGGGTTTATAGGGTTTATGAGGGTTGATTTAGGGCTTATTAGGGTTTGTGAGGGTTTTATTCGGGTGAATTAGGGTTTAAGGTGTGGGGTGTTTAAGTTTGGGGTTACGGCTTTGACCGTAATTTTAATTAAGGCTCTATCACAACCCACCAAGCTGAGGAAGAGATTCTGCGAAACAGCCAAGGCTCGGGTTTAGGGTTAAATACGCCGTCAGGTGTTGTCAGCCAAACCCTAAACTAAACTCTATAATCCAAACCTTAAGCCCTAAGCCTAAATGCCTTACACCCTTAACCCAAACTTTAAGCCGGCAAGCCATAGCATAGCTTGCTGTCTTGGTTCTCGCCGAGGGCACACCCACACAATGGGAGAGCGTAAGAGCCTCTCGTCTGCGCATGGGATTTCGGGTTCAATGGGCCTTTGGGCTTAAATAGCAGGACTACGAGTTCATACTGGGGCCATAAAGCTGTTTTAGTAAAGTTGCCTTCTTTATCACCCAAGTTTTCAAGTCCCCTGATGCTTAACATAGGGTTAAAGAAAGGGAAGTGGTTTTACGGGCTTCCTTTCTTGAAGGCTCTCTAACGCTGGAGTGCTCCTTCGGAGCGCATATTAGGGTTGTCCGTCTGGGCATACTTGTACCGAGAGGCTCCAATGCCCCCTCATTGACGATTCTAGCTTAACTCGCAAAGTCTTCGCTTTCTCGTTCATCCTAGCTAGTAGTAGAGACCCGTCAAAGGTGACCCTTCTTAACCCTACTTTGGCTCTCTTAAAGGGGACCTTATGGAGAGTGTCTACATCCCCATGGGTCCCCCGAATCCTAAGTCCTAGTTCAGAAACGACCTGTTGGCGACGTCTGTCTCGTTCTCCAATTCAAACTCGCCGCCCCTCGCAACGCTCCAGCCTGATGTCTGCACAATCCCTTCGAAAGCGTTTCAGTTACACCCTATGAACCCCTATGGCTTATGGCAAAACACAGATGACAGCTTCGTACCACCTTAAACAGCCTACAAAGACTCGTAAAGCCCTAAACCTCAAACCCGAAGCCCCAGACCCTAAATCTTAAACCCCAAGTTATATAGATCCCTTGTCGATGTATAAAAACCCTCGAAAAACTTACATAGATCCCAATTCATTAAAGGAGCCCTAAAACATAAACCCTAAAGGACCCCTAAACCCTCAACTCGTTGCCGAGGCCTGTCTTCGGAGATAGAGGCGCATTACAAGATGTGCCTTGGCGACAAGGCTTCGCTTCTAGGGTTTTCTAGGGCTTAGGGCTTTACAGGGTTTGGGGTTTTACAGGGTTTATGGTTTTTTGAGGGTTTAGGGTTTTTAGGGTTCTAAGGTTTGTAGGGTTTCCAGGAATTCTCTATTATCAGAAGGCTTATAGCTTGTAACAGCTAGTGTAAACCAGCTCGTTAAGGGGTTTATGAGGACTCTACAGCTTGTTCATGGCTTGGGCTTCCCTGGAAGGAATCTGTTAAGGGATCCGTTAAGGGAACAAAAGGGTTAGGATTTACGCCCCACTCGGTAAAAAAACGAGGACAGTGGCACGTCGAGCGCAGACGGCCGAGCTCTTCACTGCAGCCCTACAAGCAGTGGAAGCGGTGCAGGCCCCTTGTTGATAAAGCAAATGCAAGATCTTGTTGTTACATCTACAGCTTTCCTATTCCATTTTCATGTTTGTATCGTCACATCTACAGCTTTTCGTATTCCATTTTAATATTTGTATCGATACGCGAATATTGAATATTCGTGTATCGAAACTTATGTGCTCACGTCACATTTGCTGGCTGAGTTCCCGTGGTGGCTACACTGCTACACTGCGGAGCTGGAGACGCTGTTGTTGTTTGTTTACCTGCCTATCTCTGTCTGTTTCTCCGTCCATCTGTTTCAATCTCTCTCTCTCTCTCTATATCCATCTATCTAGCTAGCTACCTCAATAGCTATCTATCTGGCTATCGTTTTATTGATAGTTTTATCGGTCGATCTATCTATCTATCTATCTATCTATCGATCTATCTATCTATCTATCTATCTATCTAGGGCAGTGGGTTTAAAACGGCAGCCTGAAGCAGAAAGAAGACTACTCCTTAGGGTTCTCTCACATATAGTCATAGCACTAAACCCCGTCTAAGACCTCAGGCTACCGTATGAAGTCCTTCCTTAGGAGCAGCTAGGGCCGAGGGATGTAGGGTGACGAGCTGACGGAAAAGGGTTCTTGGATGCTTCTTTTTTCGGGCTATTTTAGGACTTCCGGGTTTTCAGTCTGGGGCTTAGGGAGTTCATGGGCTGCTAGATGCAAAGGCCTACGGACCCATATGGTTGAGATTTTCGGGCCCAGACAGTATCGTCTATGTGAGGCTTTTGGTATGGTTTTCGGTTGGAATCCTCAATCCAAAGAGCAAGTTTGGTTGCTTCCGCTGCAAGCAGGACTTCATTCGCTGCTATCGCTCCCCGGCAGGATTTGTTGAACCCCGAACCCTAAGTAGCGCCAGACCCGTAAACCCCAAACCCCAGACCTGCCCACCACCCCGCTCCTTTATGTGACTAGCTCACTGAATGCCATATTTGGTTTGCATAAAGGATTGTAACTGTAGACACCCTTGGAGGTGGGGTTTACACGTGAATTTGTATGGATGTATGGACTCCTATTATGGATGGTAAAGGTGGTGTAAAGATACCTTGCTTGTGTGTACCAGGAGCTCCATACCTAAATGCCTGACGAAAAACCTTCAAAGACATGGTAACCCCATCCAGTCGCGCGCAAAACCATAAACATGCCCTTGAGGGATCCTCTTCCTCAACTTGCCCTTGCCCATAGGCCCCATAGTAGTTCCCTCTTGGGGTTCACATTTGGGGGTTTCCGAAAAAAGGGGACCCTAATATAGTACCCTAAATGGTAGGATCCTTATTATAAGGACCCCTAAATAAGGTACCCCTAACTTTCGGAAACGCCCATGTAGAATCCTATCAGGTAATCCCCAAAAAGGAACTACTATGGGGCCTCTGGGTGAGCCATATTTTGGCCGTCCGGCGTAATTTGTACGCGCGACCCACATCTAGACCTACAGTATTATCCTGTTACGAGAGTCCTTGAGTAGGAACCCTTATTTAAGAACCAAGCTTGATTCCCAAACCCAACACCCAACCCCTTTTCTTCAGTCCTCAAGACCCTTTGAACTTGTAAAGTCCTTATAAGACTTTTACAGATCCTTCATGAAACCCCATGTAGAACCCTCGCAGAACCACTAATAGGTCCGTTACAGTTTCCCCACGAAAGCCCTGTTTCCTCAACCTCGAACAGCCCGAGTCTAGGACATTTTCAGGTGGGTTGTTGCCGTTATAGGAGCCTTATAGACGATCTATATACCTTCTGGAAGCCTTATAGAAGCCCTATATACCCTAAACTCCCCACCCCTAAACCCTAAACCCTAAACTCTAAACCCTAAACCCTAAACTCTAAACCCTACAAAAACCCTAAGCTCCCCACCTGTAGTTTCCTTTAGCCGAGGCAGGATTTGGGGCGCAGAGGCAAAGGTTCCAAGCGACCGATTCTCGTCGGTTTCAGTTCTTGGAGGCTTTGAGTTTTCGGGTAAGGGGGTTTAGGGTTTAGGGTTTAGGGGGGTAAGGGAGGGTTTGGGGCTTTGGGGTTTGTAGAATTCGGGTTTAGGGTAGGTCTTAAGTGAGGTTGGAGAGAACGGCATCTTCATCACAAGCAAACCAGCTTAGAGTCTAAACTTAAGTGTTTTGCGGATGTAGGTCAAGAACCTTGAACTGTCCTGGGCATGGTAAGTTTTCGGTACTTTAATGGGCAGACACTCCAGTGCATATTGAAAGACCAAGCCCGATCCCTGAACGATTAAAATGAAACAGTCTCTACACCCTAAGCCGAAAAGCCCGAAGTCCTGAGCATAAAGACGTATTGTTAAAGACAAATGAAACCACCAGCGCACCAAGCCCGACCTATTCCTTATACCTTGTACAGCCTTCCAAACGCACAAAACACATCCCCCAACACCCGAAACCCTAAAGCACCAAACCCGAAACCCTAACTGCCTTAAGCAAATCCCAGAATGGCTCCGGCTCCTCGAGAGCGAAGACGTGCCAGGGCTTAACAGCCTCGACCCCGAGGCGCCTCCTTTTGGTATTTGTGTCGGGGTTTTGGGTTCAGGGTTTGGGTTTTAGGTTTTAGGGGAAGGAGTCTTAATTTTGGGCTTGTGTTTTGGGGTGTTTCAGGGCTCTTATAGTTATAGCAGTATGATCGCGCATTTATACAATGATTTTCTACGGAGCATAAGGGCATACAGCGTGTTATATCATAGTTATGATATCTAGATCAGGGAATACAGGGGCATGCTCTGATTTAAAGCACGAGTTGCAGCAGAGATGCATACTTGGGTTTTACGCGCTTGTGGGTTTTAGGGGTTAGGGCTCATATATAAAACCATGATCCATGATGTGGGTTCTGATCATAATGGTTCTGTGTTTGGGGGTCGGGGTTGGATTTTTCGGGGGTCTAGGGTCTCGCTCAATCTTGTTGCGACCTATGAGAAGTTCACGTTTGGGGTCGAGAGTTTACGGCTGGAAAAACGTAGTGAGAAGGGGGGAGGGAGGGAGGGAGGGAGGGCTTCCCAGTTTTGGCTGGTATAAGGGTATTATACGAAATCAAGGTGCTTCAAGGGTTCAAAACAGGGTGTATAGTAATTCGAGGCAGGGGATTGGACATCGATTGTGATTTGCGTGAGCGGCCCCATTCTCCCTTGCGGTGAATGTCAATTTTGCCACATCTGCAACCCTAAACCCTAAGCCCTAAAGCCTAAAACAAAATTGTGCAGGTGTGGAGTTCGGAATCTGGCAGCTACCTGGCACGCGGCTCGGCCAGATCTCTTGCTGATGTGGCACTGTTTCCTAGGGTTGTAGCTTCGGGACCTCTAGAGGAACCATACAGGGGCAAAGTGTAAAGCTTCCCAAAGTGCCACCTAGTTC